GCTGGCTGGCATGTGGTGCTGGGGGATTGAACCGTGGTCCCTGTGCTTTGCTTAGCTTAGCTTGTTCTAAGTGGGTGCTTTAGACCACTGAGCCATCTCACCAGCCCTTAGTCTAAGTTTTCTACTACACATGGTTTGACTTGAATAGCTTTGAAAGAAGGCCCCTGTGTTGCCTTTCCTTATTTCAACTTGGAGATTTAATTATTACTTCTCTTGAAGACAAATTAAGGTGCTGATGTGCATGGGAAGTTATCAAAGCTTGGGAGTCTGGGGGTTTCAGGAGCCCCAAAGCTCAGCAACACTCAGGTATCCCTCTGGAAAGTTAGTGACCGGGGAAAGGTAGTTAACTGGCTAGACCATCGGGCCGAGCCAGGCTGGGGCCAGACTGGCAATAGGAAATACCTGAATAACAGGATGTGGTATTTTAAAATTCTCTCTGGCACTGCTGTGCAGTCTTAAGGTTGCAGTAGAGCTGCCAAAGTGCCCAGAGATCGGCCACCGTGTGTCTGATTCAGGGAAGCCTCAATTATGGTAAGGTGTACTGGTGGTTAATCACAGGAGTCGGAACAAAAGCAGCTGATCGTATCCTTCTTGGAGCTGAAAAACAGCCAGATTCCTGGCATGGAAACAGATGATGCCTGGTTTGGACCCAGAGAGTGATGGGTGACGGGCATCCCTGAGAGAAGCTGCCACGCTGGGGAGCCCTGGAAAGCTTGAGTTCTAAGATCGTGTTCCATGGGTTGAAACCCATCTATGTGTTGCTGATAAAATGACTGCGAGCTCTTCGCATATCCTCTCTGTGCTGAGGGTTTCTTATCTGGAGAAGAACAACAGTATCTACCCTGAGGTAAATCTAATATGCTTAAAATACTTCTACTTTAGAAAACTTTGTTCATTTTTTCCCCCCAGAACCACTGAATTATATGTCTTTGTAAAAACTGAAGGCAAATTGAGTTTTTTCATCAAAAGTGAATACCACCCACCCATCTGAAAAATGTTAATCATCCAAGCACTT